TTTTTCCGTTAGTATATATGTATACTCTTATAGAAACAGCTTACCAACCAAAATGTGTGTCAGTATCAATATGTAACCATGGTTTGCGCGTGCGTTCTTCCCATGATTTTTACCAGTTGTAAAATGTAGTAGGGCTCAACCAACATTGTCGCCTACTTTTCCTGGCAATTCAGTTGAGTTTTTCGCTTCTTACGGTGTGTATAATGTGTTTTTTTTATAACTTACAAAAATCTGGGTTATCAAATCTAAGATTTGTTATTAATTTTCTGTGCATACTTTAACGTGTATTTGAAAAGTAACTACCTGTTTGACTTGTGCACTAACAAATCTTAGATTACCAAAAATAGATTAAAAACATATTGGATTGAGCGTTTCGTGGTTTTGTGACCACCGTGATGATCTTCATGTGATTATATAATATATCATTTTTGTTCGACACATTCGGTGCTCGTAACCCAGTGGTTTAATTGTTACTTTTGTCTATTTCAATTTAGAGTCACAACTTAAGTTTGAAATTGAACGAAACAAATATCCTTCCGAAAGTCAAACCCCTTGCCAAGGTTTTCATGAAGAATTTTACATCTTATCTGCTTTCAGGACAAACCTGATTCTCATTGTGCTCCCGTTTGGCACATTTCGAGTTTGGACAACAATTTGTTTCATTTGCAGTTGAACATTCTGTTTAATTTTAGAAACAATTTGAAATTGTAGTTAATGCTGTTATAAGGATTGATTATAAATCAAACGTTGGTTTTATTGTACTTTCTGCAGAGAGAAGATATCACGCAGTCAAGTGTCCAATTCCGTCTCTTCATCTGGTGTTAACAAGGCGCCGGCACGTCCAAATCCATTACACCAGAAGAAGGAAGATCTTGAGAGAGATGAAATATTAAAATTACATGAACAGGTTGACGAAATGGAAAGACGGTTAAAAGAAACACAAGCGGAGCTCCATCAGGCAGAAGTGGAAAAGGAATATTGGGTCGACAGGTGTGTTTACTTTTTAAAGTAATATTTTCCTAATGTTTTAGAAGTATCTTTAAAGATGGTGGGCTGTGCAGTTTCAACGTTTCACATCAGTGGAATGCTTTGAGACAATAAACAAATGTTATAAAGCTGAAAGTTAAGAGAGACTCGACATCAGGACTAAGTCAAAGTTGTATGACATAAGGAACTATGAAAACATGCAGATGGTACAAAGTTTCTCGGAAATTATTCGAGTCTTGAATCATACGTGGTACTTAACAGTTTATTTCGTGTGTTTGATATAAGAGTAAACGATTTATTATGATTTGTCTACTCTACAGTACTGTAGCCATTTCTTAACGAAATTATAGTATGTAATAACAACAAAGATGTTACCAACATGTGAACATTCAAACTTAAACTGAATAAAATCTGGTACAGTAAGGACCAAAGAAAGATTAACATGGAGACTTCTAAAACCTACAATGAGTAATAGGGTATGTGTTCCGGAAGGTTGAGCGTCCTCTGTTTCATTGACGACACTGTAGTGTAAATCTTGGTCAATTCAAGTAAATAGTGTCACGTTTCTAATTGAGAACAAGGTAAACAACAAGGGAGCCACTACGTATACTAACGAACATTAAATTCGGTCAACTTCATCCCGCAGAAGGAAAATTTCTCAATGAGGTTCTTGTGACAACCGTAAAAATCCCCATAATCTTTATCGGTCGACATCTCTCGAAACTCTGTGTTGTGAGTTGTCGACATCTTGCATAAAAATCGTGATCTTGAGAACAGGTCTTTGAATATCGAATCAACTGAGCCATGTTAACATCTTAAAGAAACACAATGTAAACATCTTAAAGAAACACAGAGGTGCGAACATAATACTACTTAAGAAAAAAACTTTCACAAAAAGGAAACCGAAACACGCTTATCACACAGAGATAGTTTCGTTGTAGGAAAATGGAGTTTAATGAATCATGCGAAATTGGAAAGATTTCCAAATGATTTTTGACGGAAAAATAAAACAATAAACAAGAAAACAAGAAAAATCATTTCCGTTTTGTACCATTACCTTTGGGTTACATGAAATACCTAATAGAAATGTAATGTATCACGAGTTATCCTATTTCCTTTAACACATGCGCTCTCCTCAGGTTGAGTCAAGTGACAGGAGAAAAACTGACCCGCAACAACCCGGATGTAGCTGACCTGAGTGATCCCAAACGACCCCAAAAGTTGGGTGATCTATACAGTGAATTGTACGATAATGAATGGACGGATGCCATGGAAATGCTGACGAAAGCAGAGGACTCCGAACGCAGAGGTATCAACATCTTAGTTGATATCCTTCAGGTATACACTTGAATGTAGTTGTAAAATAACTAACACTGTTATAGCCGATTTCAGAAATTGATATCTAATTCAACATATCTCTTCGTACATATTTCTCAATTTATAAGATATAAATGTTTGATTACTCCAGTTGCAAGAATAAACACGACACAATTTACTATATTTAAGCCATTTATACACTTCAAGATATCAAATCACCTGCTCGGCAATATGTGTTTTCTGTTTTCTCTCAAGTCAAGCGAACAGTGGAAATATACAGTGCTTCAGATATAAAATGACGTCATCAGACAATTACATTACCAATCGATTTGCATCAAAATTACCTTAAATGCATTTAAAATGAAATACAAATGTAGAGCGAAAAATTGGTAACTGTCTGGAATTAAAGCATAAAGTACTTTAAAGTTTACTTTTTATTCCATACGAACCTTTGATAAAAATAAAATACATTCCTTTTAAAGCGAAGCCATGAAACTTGTATCAAACTCGCAGATGATCAATTGCAAACGTTACAAAGAGATGTCATACTAGACCCGAGTAAGGCGGTAAGTTTGTAACGTCGTTCTTTTGAAAAAAAGTTAACAGAATTAGTGATCTAATTATTTCCTGTTCCTCTGAGATTTTTCTTTACAGCATACCATTAATTCCCAAGACATTATGTCCTGGGACATCTAAACTTTGATAATAACGGTCATTTATCAAACCGATCAATGGGACTAATCCCTCTAGTACCATATTCAGGGTTGCATCAGAAAACAAATGTATGATGTTGGCATTACGACAGTAAAGGTCACTTTATTATCCATAGATAGTTGTGCCTTGTTTTTTTTCTGCCATCGGAATAGTGTTCAGGATTTATATTCTCCTCTTTATATGTAAGTAGTATTAATGTTTTGTTCCTAGATATGATATTTTTAAATTTTGTTTTTTTTTCATATCTATTTATATAGGAAACAAGAGACATCGATTGCCCTATAGAAGTCCAAAGAAGTCTGAAAGATGCACAAAAGCAGGCATCGTTACACTCACTTCCGGCGGTACAGCAGGTGTGTTTATATTATAAAGAAAAGGCCGGATGATCAGATTGTATTAACAATTTTCTATTCCCGAACAATGAAATTAGTTATTGTGGTTTAAAAGGGTGTTTCCCTTCATTTGAACTGCAAATACAAGCTAGGCTATCATATCTAAACGTGTTTGGATATTAAGATATCCGCGTGCACATGCTATATAATTATACATGTATATATTAAAGTGTGAGAGTAAATTTAGGCATATCGCCTTTGCGAACCGCAGTCTCGCGAAAGTAGGGTGAAATTGCTGAAGAGAGGTAGGTTCCTTTGCCATCTTCAATCCTGCATCGGCTTTCTCTTCTCTCGAACTGTTGAACTTCAAGTAATCTATCTATGTTTTATGTTGGTAAACAACACCTAATTGCTTCACTTAAATGTATTTGAAAAAATTAAAAGAGTTTTTTCTCCTTAAAGACAACGATATGTATTTGGTATTTCATTTGTCCACTCGAGTTTACATAAATAAACGACTTGCTTACAAAATTGCCTAGCACCACGAAGCAGCAATCATATTCAGACATATGTCATTTTTATATTCAATCTCCGACAGAGCATAATCGCTGATCAAAGACATCACGTATGAATGATTTTGTAGATAGGAGTTTTTCGTCTGACAGTAATTTTTAGTATTGTAGTAAAAAATATGCTGATTGACATATATCTGTTAATTTCTCTTTTTTAACGCATTTGATAAATATATATTATTTGATAAAATTCAGCGGAATACACGAACTTTTCCCTACTTTTAATTCTTGATCCGTGGTGTTATACTGAATGCTATTATAGTATATCATAGTACTTAATGTCAAAGTATTGCTTCTCATCGTACATACAAAATATGACTTTTTCAGAATGTGCGCCGCCAATTATCATCCCTCAAAGAGAAATTTGGGGACTTTCCCTTGGACAAGCTGGTGCCATTCATCAATAAATGTACAGAGATATGCTGGGGAATGGTGATGCAAAGTCCACGCATGGAGTTCCTCTTTCCTACTGGAGGACGAGGAGAGAGATTAGATAAAGACAAATTCAAAGAATTTACACGGTCTGGTGATAGACTTGACTTCGTTGTCTGGCCAGCCTTGGCAGTACATAAACAGGGCTCCCTTGTGATGAGGGGTGTTGCCCAGGCTCTCGTTAAATAGTGGTGCACTTTTTGGAACATTTGGGTCTTCTTAAAGGTACTTAATGGTTAGATTTTCATTTCATAACTGATAAAAAACATTATAACATTTAAATATCTGTTAAAGTTGTACTCTTTCTGCTAATTATAATATTCAAAAGTTTGCACAACCATTTTATTAAAAACGTCAAAGAATTGATATAAAATAGGAGCGACGCAACATTAATCCATACTATAGTCGTTCGGAGAGTATAAACCATGCCTTTTGTCATGCGCGATGCAGGAAATTTTAGAAATCATTACTAAGTGGCGTGTTTAAATCGAGGTTCCGAAAGGTCACGTGACGAATTCAGCTATTTCAGAGAATGACGGTAGACAAAACAGCGAGTGTCGACCAACGTTAGTTTGAAGATGATAATCTTTACCAATTTTTCTAAAACAAACCTGCTATAATGTTGTGAATAGTCAACTTTTAAGTATTAAAACCCTTGCCCGAAATCAAACGCCTGAAAACATATGACAAAATCTCACCATTAAGTCCCTTTAAGATAACTATTTCCTTTTCAAATAGCGTACTAGTGTTTCAGGTCTATTGATTTTTAATATAAGATATAAATCTTATAGCCTGAAAAATTAAATCAAAAGTATTATAATACGTATGTCATATAATTTATTTATACATTTTCCCTGTAGTTTAATTGACTAAAATCACAGTCATCTAAATAAACAAGATTTTCCAATATAAATCAAAATTCCCATTTTAAGGTTATCGCTTAATCTGCATGTCCTTTATCTTTTGTCACACTGGCTTGGAATCACAGCCCAATACGTTTTTTATGGATATTTATCTATTTATTTATCTCTATTTATTTTAAGGTCAATTATTAAATATGTTCCTCATTCAGGATGATGAAATAGCTATCCACACATCTGATAACCGGACGTGTGCAATACTCTGTAATTGCTACATCGTTAGTGTTTGTTGTTTAGATTCACATTACACTATGAAATAACATGACAATTTATACAGCCTTCTCTTCGTTGCTCGTCTGCGTAGAAAACGGTTGTGTTTCTTACAATTTGTATAGCACTTATCTCATGTTCACTGAGACTCATTCGTGAAAATGTTATTATTTTAAGATACAAATACTTAAAGTTTGATTTTCTGTATTACTACTTATTATTTCTGAAAATTGAATACAACCTTTTTAGATAACAAATAAAATATTAACACCTAAAATTTCAACAGTTTGAGATACCACCTCTCATGGATTCGGCATAGACTAGGTATGACATCCCTGGTAGATGTGTTCAACGTCAACAATTTGTGATAGAATAATCTTAATATGCAGCAGGGGTATCTATTGTTCTGACATAAAAAAAAGGGAAACAACAAGTACCTGAACGACGACACAGCGGAAAAAAAATTCTGTGTCGTAATTTTAGATATACCAGTGACAGGTCATCCAGTGTTATCCTTGTACAGTGATGTTACTTTGCGTTTGTTGCATATGTTTCACATGCACTAAATAAATGTAGGTTCATATGCCGAAAATATCACAAGAATCGCCCTTTGGCTGATCATATGTTAAATATCACCCTACATAATAATCACAAATATTGCTTCTCGACGTACCTTAAGTTACCTTAGATAGATACTCAGTAAATTTGCACGTATTTATTTCATTTGAGTCGTTTTTTATTATTTTTTAAAGACACAAATTGTAAAATGTACTTAGTAATTATCAAATAATATTTTTCTCTGTATTTTCATCATTGAATTCAACATTAAATTGTAGCAGGAAGGTCTTCGCCTCGAATTCCCGCCAAAATGTTCCTGGCTGTGAGACTGGCCATTTCATTTCTTGTCTTCAGGCTAGCACTGCCGAGGTGGGGTGTTACCAGACAGTTCATCAGGGAGTGTAGTGGACTGTCTGGTGGAAGAGGTTCCGGAGTGGTGACGTCAAGTCCGGCGCCATATATTTCACCAGTGGTCAAGGCCTCAATCAAATCGTCCTGGTTGACCAGTACCCCTCGTGAAACATTGATAAATATGGCTGATTTCTTCATCTTTTTAAATGCAGCTTTGTTGAAAAGACCTCGATTGTTTGCATTGATCGAACAACATGCGATTACAAAATCAGAATTTTCGAGAAGTTTGTCAAACGAAACAAATTCTGCTTTCACTTCTTCTGCATATGACTTCTGACTATTTCCGGTGTACAGAAACTTAGCAACCTTGAACGCTTGGAGTCGCCTAGCAACAGCCATACCGATACGCCCCAATCCCACAATGCCAATGGTGGAGCCACTGATCTCGTGTCCACAGAGAAATAATGCATTTTGCCAGGTTTCTTCACCATTCGTACAGGCGTACCCTGTATAAAAGTTACAAGACGTGACGTTTCTCAAACTACACATCCATTCTGTACTCAAACGTAAAAAGATAATAATAGATAGATAATTAAAGCGTTTTCAACCAGAAGAATTCTGAGAGCGAAAATTCATATAGAGAATGAAACGTTATTGCCAGGAACTAAATAGATATACTTACTACAACAGAAACAATGATATGTACTGTTACACCAGTCACACCATGAATTATATCGAACAAGCAAGTTAGAAAAATGGCCTTCTGTCAGTGATCTTAAATTAGTAAGACGTTCTTATGATATTAAGTTTGAAGTAATTTTCAATAAGCAGGTGAGATGTAGATAAACTCGTGTATTACGTTTATTATATGTAAACACATCTTGATGATGTCAAAATGAGAAGTCGATCTAAGAACTGGTTTTATTGTGCGAATATTTTCCCGAATTTTCATTTCTATGGTCGGCGTGGCTGAAACAGATGTAAAATTAATAAACTAATCAACCAAAAGCAATTCTTAAAACTTGTAACGAACGGATACAGGTGGATATAGCATCTGTTCACCAAAGAGACATAAAAATATACCTTAATGACGAAACATTGAAATAGAGAGAAACCATGCATTCCTTGTGTAGATCACATATGAATGCATACATCCGACAGGAAAGCACTTATCTTTCTTCAGTCTACCCTGCTTCCTTACTGACAGTTAACCTGCATTCCTACTGACAGGAGAATACATACCTTCTTTAATACTGCGTGCTACTGACAGAATACATACCTTCTTTAATACTGCGTGCTATGGACAGAATACATACCTTCCTTAATAATGCGTGCTACGGACAGAATACATACCTTCCTTAATACTGCGTGCTACTGACAGAATACATACCTTCCTTAATACTGCGTGCTACTGACAGAATACATACCTTCCTTAATACTGCGTGCTACGGACAGAATACATACCTTCCTTAATACTGCGTGCTACTGACAGAATACATACCTTCCTTAATACTGCGTGGTATTGACAGAATACATACCTTCTTTAATACTGCGTGCTACTGACAGAATACATACCTTCCTTAATACTGCGTGCTACGGACAGAATACATACCTTCCTTAATACTGCGTGGTACTGACAGGAGAAAACATACCTTCCTTAATACTGCGTGCCACTGACAGAATGCATACCTTCCTTAATACTGCGTGCTACTGACAGAATACATACCTTCCTTAATACTGCGTGGTATTGACACAATACATACCTTCCTTAATACTGCGTGCTACTGACAGAATACAAACCTTCCTTAATACTGCGTGCTACGGACAGAATACATACCTTCCCTAATACTGTGTGGTACTGACAGGAGAATACATACCTTCCTTAATACTGCGTGCTACGGACAGAATACATACCTTCCTTAATACTGCGTGGTACTGACAGGAGAATACATACCTTCCTTAATACTGCGTGCTACGGACAGAATACATACCTTCCTTAATACTGCGTGCTACGGACAGAATACATACCTTCCTTAATACTGCGTGCTACGGACAGAATACATACCTTCCTTAATACTGCGTGCTACGGACAGAATACATACCTTCCTTAATACTGCGTGGTACTGACAGAATACATACCTTCCTTAATACTGCGTGCTACGGACAGAATACATGTCTTCCTTAATACTGCGTGGTACGGACAGGAGAATACATACCTTCCTTAATACTGCGTGCTACGGACAGGAGAATACATACCTTCCTTAATACTGCGTGCTACTGACAGAATACAAACCTTCCTTAATACTGCGTGCTACGGACAGAATACATACCTTCCTTAATACTGCGTGGTACTGACAGAATACATACCTTCCTTAATACTGCGTGCTACGGACAGAATACATACCTTCCTTAATACTGCGTGGTACGGACAGGAGAATACATACCTTCCTTAATACTGCGTGCTACGGACAGGAGAATACATACCTTCCTTAATACTGCGTGCTACGGACAGAATACAAACCTTCCTTAATACTGCGTGCTACGGACAGAATACATACCTTCCTTAATACTGCGTGGTACTGACAGAATACATACCTTCCTTAATACTGCGTGCTACGGACAGAATACATACCTTCCTTAATACTGCGTGGTACGGACAGGAGAATACATACCTTCCTTAATACTGCGTGCTACGAACAGGAGAATACATACCTTCCTTAATACTACGTGCTACGGACAGAATACAAACCTTCCTTAATACTGCGTGCTACGGACAGAATACATACCTTCCTTAATACTGCGTGCTACGGACAGAATACATACCTTCCTTAATACTGCGTGCTACGGACAGAATACATACCTTCCTTAATACTGCGTGCTACGGACAGAATACATGTCTTCCTTAATACTGCGTGCTACGGACATAGTACATACCTTCCTTAATACTGCGTGGTACTGACAGGAGAATACATACCTTCCTTAATACTGCGTGCTACGGACAGAATACATACCTTCCTTAATACTGCGTGCCACTGACAGGAGAATACATACCTTCCTTAATACTGCGTGGTACTGACAGGAGAATACATACCTTCCTTAATACTGCGTGGTACTGACAGGAGAATACATACCTTTCTTAATACTGCGTGCTACTGACGGGAGAATACATACCTTCCTTTACATACCTTCCTTAATACTGCGTGTCACTGACAGGAGAATACATACCTTCCTTAATATTGCGTGGTACTGACAGGAGAATACATACCTTCCTTAATACTGCGTAGTACTGACAGGAGAATACATACCTTCCTTAATACTGCTTGATACGGACAGAAGAATACCTACCTTTCGTGTGTGTGTGCTGCTGACAAGCTTATATCGAATATCTACTTGATGCTGACAGGAGTATACTTAGCTTTAGCCTGCGTGCTGCTGACAGAAAACCTAGCTTTAGTCTGTGTACTTCTGACAAAAGTAAACCTACCTTCCTTGAGTCTGCGTGCTGCTGACAAAAGAAGGGCTATGGTCAGTTCAGCCACTGCATCATTAAGCACGTTCGGACAATGGCCGACCTTAATACCACGACGTCGACACTCAGTGATATCAATGTGTTCAAGACCAACGGACATAGTTCCAACGACTTTCAGACTCGGACCTGTTAGAACGAATACAGGAAGTTTGATCACCCATACAGCTATCAATGACCACGTCAAGTATAGAGTTAATAGATACTTCATCATTCCTTGTAGCATTGCCTCACAGCGTTACTTAAGTAGCGCAATGTATTTTGACAATAATATAACGAAAATTCACCAAAGCATCAGCAAACAAGACAATTAAACATCAAAGGTATCATGTATATATATTAAGAATGTCATCGTCTTTCATTACCATTAGTTCTTATTTTAATATAGGTTAAGTGTCGTTTCCTGCACAAAAACACCCCTAGTGACAATCCCTATAGCAGGATACCCCTAGTGTCGTTCACTATAGCAGGAAGCAGGATACCCCTAGTGTCGTTCCCTATAGCAGGAAGCAGGATACCCCTAGTGTCGTTCACTATAGCAGGAAGCAGGATACCCCTAGTGTCGTTCTCTATAGCAGGAAGCAGGATACCCCTAGTGTCGTTCACTATAGCAGGAAGCAGGATACCCCTAGTGTCGTTCTCTATAGCAGGAAGCAGGATACCCCTAGTATCGTTCACTATAGCAGAAAGCAGGATACCCCTAGTGTCGTTCACTATAGCAGGAAGCAGGATACCCCTAGTGTCGTTCACTATAGCAGGAAGCAGGATACCCCTAGTGTCGTTCTCTATAGCAGGAAGCAGGATACCCCTAGTGTCGTTCACTATAGCAGGAAGCAGGATACCCCTAGTGTCGTTCACTATAGCAGGAAGCAGGATACCCCTAGTGTCGTTCACTATAGCAGGAAGCAGGATACCCCTAGTGTCGTTCCCTATAGCAGGAAGCAGGATACCCCTAGTGTCGTTCCCTATAGCAGGAAGCAGGATACCCCTAGTGTCGTTCACTATAGCAGGAAGCAGGATACCCCTAGTGTCGTTCACTATAGCAGGAAGCAGGATACCCCTAGTGTCGTTCACTATAGCAGGGAGCAGGATACCCCTAGTGTCGCCCACTATAGCAGGAAGCAGGATACCCCTAGTGTCGTTCACTATAGCAGGAAGCAGGATACAGGATAGTGTCGTTCCTATAGCAGGAAGCAGGATACCCCTAGTGTCGTTCACTATAGCAGGAAGCAGGATACCCCTAGTGTCGTTAACTATAGCAGGAAGCAGGATACCCCTAGTGTCGTTCACTATAGCAGGAAGCAGGATACCCCTAGTGTCGTTCACTATAGCAGGAAGCAGGATACCCCTACCCCTAGTGTCGTTCACTATAGCAGGAAGCAGGATACCCCTATAGCAGGAAGCAGTGTCGTTCTCTATAGCAGAAAGCAGGATACCCCTAGTGTCGTTCACTATAGCAGGAAGCAGGATACCCCTAGTGTCGTTCACTATAGCAGGGAGCAGGATACCCCTAGTGTCGGCCACTATAGCAGGAAGCAGGATACCCCTAGTGTCGTTAACTGTAGCAGGAAGCAAACTACCCTTAGTGTCGTTCCCTATAGCAAAAAGCTTTATACTCCTAGTGTCGTTAACTGTAGCAGGAAGCAGGATACCCCTAGTATCGTTCACTATAGCAGTCCCTATAGCAGGAAGCAGGATACCCCTAGTGTCGTTCACTATAGCAGGAAGCAGGATACCCCTAGTGTCGTTCACTATAGCAGGAAGCAGGATACCCCTAGTGTCGTTCACTATAGCAGGAAGCAGGATACCCCTAGTGTCGTTCACTATAGCAGGAAGCAGGATACCCCTAGTGTCGTTCACTATAGCAGGAAGCAGGATACCCCTAGTGTCGTTCACTATAGCAGGAAGCAGGATACCCCTAGTGTCGTTCACTATAGCAGGAAGCAGGATACCCCTAGTGTCGTTCACTATAGCAGGAAGCAGGATACCCCTAGTGTCGCCCACTATAGCAGGAAGCAGGATACCCCTAGTGTCGTTCACTATAGCAGGAAGCAGGATACCCCTAGTGTCGTTCACTATAGCAGGAAGCAGGATACCCCTAGTGTCGTTCACTATAGCAGGAAGCAGGATACCCCTAGTGTAGTTCACTATAGCAGGAAGCAGGATACCCCTAGTGTCGTTCACTATAGCAGGAAGCAGGATACCCCTAGTGTCGTTCACTATAGCAGGAAGCAGGATACCCCTAGTGTCGTTCTCTATAGCAGGAAGCAGGATACCCCAAGTGTCGTTCACTATAGCAGGAAGCAGGATACCCCTAGTGTAGTTCACTATAGCAGGAAGCAGGTTCACTAGATGTAGCTATAGCAGGAAGCAGGATACCCCTAGTGTCGTTCACTATAGCAGGAAGCAGGATACCCCTAGTTAGTGTCGTTCACTATAGCAGGAAGCAGGATACCCCTAGTGTCGTTCACTATAGCAGGAAGCAGGATACCCCTAGTGTCGTTCACTATAGCAGGAAGCAGGATACCCCTAGTGTCGTTCACTATAGCAGTGTCGTTCACTATAGCAGGAAGCAGGATAAGCAGGATACCCCTAGTGTCGTTCACTATAGCAGGAAGCAGGATACCCCTAGTTCACTATAGCAGGAAGCAGGATACCCCTAGTGTCGTTCACTATAGCAGGAAGCAGGATACCCCTAGTGTCGTTCACTATAGCAGGAAGCAGGATACCCCTAGTGTCGTTCACTATAGCAGGAAGCAGGATACCCCTAGTGTCGTTCACTATAGCAGAAAGCAGGATACCCCTAGTGTCGTTCTCTATAGCAGAAAGCAGGATACCCCTAGTGTCGTTCTCTATAGCAGAAAGCAGGATACCCCTAGTGTCGTTCTCTATAGCAGAAAGCAGGATACCCCTAGTGTCGTTCACTATAGCAGGAAGCAGGATACCCCTAGTGTCGTTCACTATAGCAGGAAGCAGGATACCCCTAGTGTCGTTCACTATAGCAGGAAGCAGGATACCCCTAGTGTCGTTCACTATAGCAGGAAGCAGGATACCCCTAGTGTCGTTCACTATAGCAGGAAGCAGGATACCCCTAGTGTCGCCCACTATAGCAGGAAGCAGGATACCCCTAGTGTCGTTCACTATAGCAGAAAGCAGGATACCCCTAGTGTCGTTCACTATAGCAGAAAGCAGGATACCCCTAGTGTCGTTCACTATAGCAGGAAGCAGGATACCCCTAGTGTCGTTCACTATAGCAGGGAGCAGGATACCCCTAGTGTCGCCCACTATAGCAGGAAGCAGGATACCCCTAGTGTCGTTCTCTATCACTATAGCAGGGAGTAGGATACCCCTAGTGTCGCCCACTATAGCAGGAAGCAGGATACCCCTAGTGTCGTTAACTGTAGCAGGAAGCAAACTACCCCTAGTGTCGTTCCCTATAGCAAAAAGCTTTATACTCCTAGTGTCGTTAACTGTAGCAGGAAGCAGACTACCCCTAGTGTCGTTATCTATAGCAGGAAGCAGACTACCCCTAGTGTCGTTCCCTATAGCACGAAGCAGGATACCCCTAGTGTCGTTCTCTATAGCAGAAAGCAGGATACCCCTAGTGTCGTTCCCTATAGCAGGAAGCAGGATACCCCTAGTGTCGTTCTCTATAGCAGAAAGCAGGATACCCCCTAGTATCGTTCACTAAAGCAGAAAGCAGGAAACACCTAGTGTCGTTCCCTATAAGGATACATCTAGTGTCGTTGCCTACAACAACAGATACGTGTAGTGTCGTTTCCTACACCAGATACATGTAGTGTCGTTGCCTACACCAGATACATGTAGTGTCGTTTCCTACACCAGATACATGTAGTGTCGTTTCCTACACCAGATACATGTAGTGTCGTTTCCTACACTAGATACATGTAGTGTCGTTTCCTACACCAGATACATGTGTTGTAGTTGCCTACACCAGGACACTTCTAGTGTCGTTGCCTATACCAGGATATTACCTTAAACAGGATACCAGTTGTGGCATTCCTACATCAGGACATATCTAGTTTCTTTCCCTACATCAGGACATATCGAGTGTAGCGCACTACATCAAGAGTAAGTCCTTACAAACATCTCATGATGTTTATCAACAAGAATTTGACCTTTTATAATATAACTGTAGCTCTGTGACCTTGACTTATTAACTCGAAATACTCACAAGAAAATCACAAATAAACAATAATAAAGATTGCACATATCTTATTATCATCTCAAGTAAACACCAAACTAAGGTAGGCCAGATATGGCGGAATGAGAACCACCGTACAAAATGGAGGAAAATGGCATAATATGAAATACAATCACCTATCTTGGAATATGATATGACGCTACTTTCTACATTTCCGTCAACAGAAACCAGGTTTCACGATTGCAAGATCAAGAATTGTCCAAGAAACATTCTGCATTGCTGTCCTCCATATTAACAAACGAAGATTATGTTGTAAAACTAGTAAAGTAAAAAAGGATTAATGCTGATTGAAATCTTCTGCATTTTGTTTCATTCCTACTTGGACCATGCGCACTAGACTGAAGCCGGAAGTGTCTTCTATTAAGATCTTTGATTGACCAGGTGACGAGGAAGAGATAAAAATCTACATGTACATGGGGTGATGATGATGATTGTATATGGAATGATGAGAATGTTGAAGATTGTTCATGCGATGATGAAGATGATAATGATTGTACAAGGGATGATGATGATGATGATGATGATGTTTGTATATGGGATGATGATGATGAGGAGGAGGAGGATGTTGTTGATTGTACAAGGGATGATGATGATGATGATGATGATGATGATGATGATGATGATGATGATGATGATGATGATGATGAATGTACAAGGATAAGATGCATGAGGTGTACAAGTGCTATGTTGTGTGGGGTGTACAAGGTTGTTTATCTGTATGTTTAAAATGCTATGAAAAATAAAATAAATATAAAAAACAAAAGAAATAAAATGTATGTTTTATTTGCATTGTGTTTCATGCTGTGAGGTTAACATATATTGCAGCATGGATTAATTGTGACGTGTATGCTATCTACAAGGCCTGAACTTTGTATACATATGGTTACGTACCATGTAAATTTTATGAAATAAATTAGAAACAACATGCAAAAATCTAGCATTATTTTACGGTGCAATAAAATAATATAAATTTGGTCGAAATGTTTATGCTAGATGTTAGCTATAATACATACCTGCAGCGTCTAGTAGATCTCTGTTGATCATGTCCGGAGGGTGACAAAATATAGCGGTTACCCCCGCCGCTCGTTTCTTAAACTCCTCAACTGGGATTTGATCTTCCTCGGGCCAGACCCATACGTCACACTCGGCCTTAAGAGGGTCTATTCCTGCGGGAGGGACTGAACGGGTAATTAAAACTCTGGGATGGGCTGACATGACCAGATTGAGTCGATCACTAAAACATGATGATATTGTGAGAAAGCAGGTAACTGACCTAACTATTGTTCTATCTGTATCAGTCGTTATACCGTTATCACTGTGGGTCCGTCCAATGACACCGTTCTTTATTTGTTACCAACGGTACGGTAGGGTTATACGTACGCTATCGCCGGTGCAGTCAGGGTTAACACGGGTGTTTACTTTCGAGGCGACCTTATTGGGCTGCACAGTGATAAACGGGGAATAGTCCGGCGGACGGGACTTTAAACGGTGACCTGTTTGAGAATTATCCAACCCCGCACGAAAAAGATTCTCCTTCGGTTATCGATAATAAGTGTAGGCGCTTAACTCTGGCCAGGAGTCTAATATAATTTTACTCTATTAGGAAATGCCTTCTAAATTTCCAATAACCAAAATTAATAATTATAGTAAGACAGCATTGAGATTCGGCAGGAAAGAAGACAAGGACCCCCTCCACAGCCGGAAGTCCAGACACATCACCAACAGATTACCTTAAGACCAGGGAGTCGTCTCCGAATTACAGAACAGTCAACCCCCAGACGACTCCAACCCATGAGGGAGCACCCCATCCCCCTTCTCACGTCGCCAGCGAATCGACTCATGTCGATTGAACAATGCCCGGCGACGGGCAGAGTCACGGAGACGACAAACCATCATCATCATCATCATAAACGGGGACTTGCATGGTCAGACACCCAGCCAACAATTAGGAAAGAAAACCATCTCCTCTACCAGGCTCCGATAACGGTTGCACCAGGGTACTGATGAGCAGCACCACACATGTGCTGACAACAGTACAGCAACGTTATATAATTTAGGTACGTTATAGAACGAATTATGTTGTCGTGGGTCATTGTAGGTAGTAGAAGCGGTCATATCGACTGGATCCGGTGCTATATTCTATAGGCTTAATTGGTCAGCACGTGGGGCTATTATAAGAGCAATGCTAGAATATTAATGTTCAGATTTACTCTATACTCAGAGGAACTTTATCTTACTGTTTATGTACAGACATGTCTGCCACGACTTAACTGAACTTTACCTAAAGTTTGGGTTGGTTTGTAACTTGTATACTCCTCCACATCTTACGGGCTTGGAGAGTTAACCGAGACTGGCTGCCGCAGCGCGGAGAGTTCGCGGGACGTGTGTGATGGTCAGCTTGTCGGTGGATTTGGGAACAAACAAAGAACTAATATGTCATGGATTTTCCCCGTCAACACTGACCAGGACTCGGTCTGCAGATGCTCTAATATGATGCATTGCGTAAACTATCCAATCGACTAAATGAAATCGGATCACGTGATCACAATTTCTAAATTTGAACATTGAGATTAAACTTGAATAAGCTCGTTTATGATAGTGTTATAGATGATGTATCTATGGTATTGAATACACGAACCGATGTTGTAGTGTCTGTACCCGCTCTACGAACGACAACAATTTACATTTAGACCAAATATGAATTAGCTTTCCTCGTTGATTTTCATTCCTTACAAAGCGAAAGTGAGACGGTGATATCAATCTAGAGAAAACAGATCGTATTGGTGGTCTATTTAATACGTGTTACCAAACTGAAGCAAAAGTTTCTGAATGTTCACGTGACTGTACTTTCAGTACAACACATTTCTACTTTCAACATGATACCCCTATCTCGCATTAACCACACATATTTCTGTCTCAATGCTCTATTCTATATTATTGTGATTCCTGGAGACAGAATCTTAATCCAAAGGGGAAGATTATTTATTTTGTATACAGCAAACATCCAAGTAATACTCTTTGCTTCTCGTTGAATTTTCTCAGAAACATATGACAGTGACAGACCCATCCGACTGTCCAACCTACCTTCCTTAAAGCTGACAATGAAAGAATTCCATTCGAGATTGAAAAAATAAACGAAGAAATAACCTTTCCCCAATGCTTCGGAGACAACCCTATGACAACGATATCTTTCGGTCTGCTACTTCCTTAGAAACGATGACCGGAAGATATCTTTAGCTTAGGGGGATGTCTCGGAAGCATTCTATTTTTTTTTTCTTGTTTCACTTATCTAAACATTGTTTTTTAAGCAGATTGTCAGCTTTAAATCTAGGTGTTTGTGTTGCTGACAGAAAAGTTACGGTAAGTTCAGATATTAGGTCAGCACATCACGGGTATTGCCTACCCTGATATCACGACCTCGACAGTGGGTGAAATTCCGTCATAGCCCCTCAGCTACAGAGAGCTCGCATCACAGGTGTCGTGATTAACCTTATGTAGCGATAACACTGTCTTCACCCTCGTAATCTAACAATACTACAGGTCGGATGTTTTAACGTAGAAGCACCTGTATGTCTAGAAACATCTTATCGAATACGAATGAGAAGGGTAGACGAGCGATTCCAACCTTTCACCCGAGATGCTATGAGCATTGGATGTATCATCTTTAGGCTTACATAAAACAAATATGTTAACACTGGAGAATTAATTCAAACTTGTCTATGATAGCAAACGAAGCAAGACAGGTTCTGTCTATCCTATCCAAACCAGAGGAGGAAGAAGCCTACAAACACACTACTAGTATTAGCGGAAATGATAATGTTCACATGAGTTGGAATATTACCCAGCTACTCCGTGCATATTGAAGAACTTATGCAACTCGAAAGTCTTTAAACAGCAGCTTCTATCGTGAGCTTGTAGCTATAAAGTTTAAAGTGTAAGAAAAATAAAGATCCATCCACTGTTATTGCTGGGGGTATGAGAGATGACAAGAGACTAACATCTTCATACCAGGAACACTAGATTCAGCAGTGCTGCTCCTGTGTTATTTATACCAAGCTTTCTCGCATACGATGAAATATTTTGATTTGCGAAAGGGTCCAAAGCTTTGTGTGTTATGTTTCATCGAAGACGAGTTTCATTTCCTAATATATATTTTTCTGAGGTGAATAGAATTGCTCATGTGTAATAGCACAATAATAAAGAGCCATTGAATTAATTGCTATCTTTAAATCATCACTTTTGACAGAAATATTTCCGTTAGAGGACTTCGGTTCCCTCTTATCATAAGTCAAATAGCGAGGCTATTAGCAAGTGGGCACGATATTGTGATGTCAGTTCTTTACTGCAGATCAATCAGAACGCGCTCAAAATGTTCCAACACCCTGTAACAACCTGCTACTTAAATTTGTCTTCGTATGAAAGAATAAAATTTGAAAAATTTGAAACAAAAACTTTTAATATGACAGTGCTAATTATATGCCAGAAAAAAGCGTTTCATATCCTCTTTATCTGAAACATACAATCATTTAAGGCAAGTACAGAATAACGTTGTAATAAATGTTACTATCTTTAGTATTACGCAACTGGGGACGGGAGATCTTCGCCTCGAATTCCCGCCAAAATGTTCCTGGCTGTCAGACTGGCCATTCCATTTCTAGCCTTATAGCTGGCACTTCCTATGTGGGGTGTCATTAGACAGTTCTTGAGGGAGTGTAGTGGATTATCTAGTGGAAGAGGTTCCGGGGTGGTGACATCAAGTGCAGCGCCATATATTTCACCAGTGGTCAAGGCCTCAATCAAATCGTCCTGATTGACCAGTACCCCTCGTGAAACGTTGATAAATATGGCTGATTTCTTCATCTTTTTAAATGCAGCTTTGTTGAAAAGACCTGGATTGTTTGCATTGATAGAACAACATGCGATTACAAAATCAGAATTTTCGAGAAGTTTGTCGAACGAAACAAATTCTGCATCCACTTCTTCAGCATAGGATTTCTGGCTATTTCCGGTGTACAGGAACTTTGCAACATTGAAGGATTTAAGTCGCTTAGCAACCGCCATACCGATGCGTCCTAATCCCACAATGCCAATGGTGGATCCGGTAATCTCGTGTCCACATAGAAAATGGGCGTTTTCCCAGAGTTTTTCTCCGCTTACCACGCATGCGTATCCTGCAAGAAATAACACTTTTGTACGCCCGATAGTCATATTTAACAATCAGTGTTTAATTAAGGTACACAAAACTGCTGGTAAAAAGAGGTAATTATGGATCCACACGGATTCTTTGTGTAGATTACACATAAACAGATATTTATAATCACAGTAACGTTACATGCACGAGTACAGTAAAACACACTTTTAAGTGAAGAGGTGCGTTTTCTCTTACTTCAATATCGTAAATAGAGGTTACACAACAAGTGCTTGTACATGTGTATATGGTACAATGCATTTTTCTTTCGCTCGAGAAAGTTATTTTCAAAAGCCACAAAAAATATGAGCCGAAGCGAGTATTTTTGTAACTATGGGAAAATAACTACCGAGAGTAACAAAAATAGGGACTACCCTACATAACAAACAAGAGTTTGTGTGACCTGTTTCCACGTGTGTTTTGTTTACGTCATCAATTGATGTGTAATGACATAGCTTTCAGTGAAATGTCGCCAATTAAGAAGCAAAACCGACAATTTCAAAAATATACAGAAATATTATAACTCGTTAAAAATTATCATTAGAAATAAAAAAAGACAGAAATACACATAAAAATCAAATCAAACAAACAAACAAAAATACAAAACGAAACAAAATCATGATCTACTTATTGCACATTCTGATTGCCATGAGTGGGTGAAGTTCCCTTTCGTTCAAAGGTCACCCTGTCAGCAAATCACAGCATGCTAGATTGTAATACAACTTGTGGCGCAATATTTATGTTGATGCATTGTGAGTTGAATAACACACAGTTATTGTGAAATCACAATACTGATATTGTTACTCTAAAAAGATGAAGGCACCAATTATAAAACCGAGACGTATATATGCTTCTTTCCACCTCCCTTTCTTTGGCAATCGGATATTTATTTTCTCGAAGAAAACAGGGCTCCTAATAAATAAACAAATAAATAAATAAATAAATAAATAAATAAATAAATAAATAAATAAATAAAATGAGCTTGAGCTTTCTTTCCCTTTGGTTAGCAATTTGATATTTTCTTAAACAAAACAGGAATCATTTTCACTCAAGATTTGGGGTGAAACATTTTCCCTTGACAACACAGATTCATTGTTTTTTTAATGGGGGAAAATGGGGAAAAATGAAGTCAGGATCTCGACATGGAAATGTAGTAAGCCGTGCTCTGGGTGGAAGAGAGTTTGACGAATATAACAATTCTCCTACCCATCAAACCTATATCTCCCCTCTAACTGTTCTCTCAGAGTCTCAATGGCTATGTCATAGGTAATCTAAACGTTACGGGTTCTCATATAATTGTCTTCATAAAACACAATTCATATGTGTCATCGCTCTGAAAACCAAATAGAATTGTGGAATCATCTTTTTAAAATTCGATGTTCTAATAATTTTTGAATCACATTAGCACACAGCAAATCGCCCAAATAACACTTTAATACCCATGCATCTTACCAAAATTTCCCAGTAATGCATGGTGACAGTAGGGTCTATCAACTGACAGACATACCTTCCTTAAGTCTACGTGCTGCTGACAGGAGAAGTGCTATGGTCAGTTCAGCAACAGCTTCGGTCAGCACGTCAGGAGTGTTGCCGACCTTGATACCACGACGGCGACACTCTTCAAGGTCAATGTGGTCAAGTCCGACTGACATTGTGCCAACCACCTTCAGACTCGGGCCTGTAAACATAGACACAGGATATGTAACCTTCAGACTCGGGCCTGTAAACATAGACACATGATATGTAACCTTCATACTCTGGCCTGTAAACATAGAGACAGGATATGTAACTTTCAGACTCGGGCCTGTAGACATAGACACGGGATATGTAACCTTCAGACTCGGGGCTGTAAACACAGACACAGGGTATGTAACTTTCAGACTCGGGCCTGTAAACATAGACACAGGATATGTAACTTTCAGACTCGGGCCTGTAAACATAGACACAGGATATGTAACCTTCAGACTCGGGCCTGTAAACATAGACACAGGATATGTAACCTTCTGACTTGGGCCTGTAAACATGGACACGGGATATGTAAACTACAGATTCGGGCCTGTAAACGCAGACACAGGATATGTAACCTTCTGACTTGGGCCTGTAAACATGGACACGGGATATGTAAACTACAGATTCGGGCCTGTAAACATAGACACAGGATATGTAACCTTCTGACTTGGGCCTGTAAACATGGACACGGGATATGTAAACTACAGATTCGGGCCTGTAAACGCAGACACAGGATATGTAACCTTCTGACTTGGGCCTGTAAACATGGACACGGGATATGTAACCTTCTGACTCGGATCTGTAAACATGGACACGGGATATGTAAACTACAGATTCGGGCCTGTAAACGCAGACACAGGATATGTAACCTTCTGACTTCTGACTCTTTATGGACATCCATAAATCGATTGTGGATATCTATAAATAATTCTTATATCCATGAATAATGCTAATATCCATCCTTCGATTTATGAATATTCATAATTCAGCTTGATTTATACAGAGACTATAAACATCTCTGATTTATAGATATTCATACTTATCTTGTTTTTTTAAATATTTATAATCATTTGTAAATAACCATAAATAAATTATGGATATCCATCAATCAGTGCCTTCTATGTACCAGTTGTTACGATCACGATGAGTTCCGAATCACGTTAGGTGACAAAAGTATCGGCAATTAATTACATATGCAAAAAAACCAGGACAACGACATTAAAGTATCACCTTGTATCGTATACTGATATATTGACCACAATGTCAATATTCACATTTATCAAGCTGTTACTAATATTTTCATTATTGTCAAAATCATAATATATGTGAATATTGACATTAAATTATCATTTAAGAGACAGAATTTTTCGGTCTAACCCCCTCCCCCTCCAAACTGTAATTTTGACAGGTTGGAATGTTGCTAGTGATCGGCTTTTGTTTCATCGGCAAGGTTGATACATTCAAGCGCGGATTCGATCGACATAAAGTATCGACATTAATTTCTTAGCATGTTTAGTCAGTTCGGAAGGTTATTAGTTTGAATACTAAAAAAAGAGAGAGAGAGAGAGAGAGAGAGAGAGAGAGAGAGAGAGAGAGAGAGAGAGAGAGAGAGAGAGAGAGAGGGAGAGAGAGAGAGGGAGAGGGAGATATATATATATATATAAAAGTACACTGGACACACCTTTAAAAGAAAATATCGTTTATGATATGCATATACATATCCCATTTCCACGGCGTCTATGTCAACTTATTAGAATTATTTTGGTAAGATAATATCGCACATTGATGATACCCGGAGATGTGTGAAGCAAACTCCGAAATTTCGAGCTCCCGTTTCAGTTGTTACGCTCTACATGATACAAACCTGCAGCGTCAAGTAAGGCCTTGTTAATCTTGTCGGGTGGATGACAGAAAATGGCAGTTACCCCTGCTGCCTGCTTCTGAAACTCCTCATCCGGGATGGGGTCTTCCTCGGGCCATATCCATACGTCACACACAGCCTTAATCGGATCGATGCCCGCGGGAGGGGCAGATCGGGAAATCAAGACTCGAGGACGGGCTGACATGATGATATGGAGACCGTGTGCTTGCTGAAATTTACAAAGAGACAAAGGAACGTGAGAAGATTTTGATGTAGTTTAACTGATAACGATAGGACACAGGTCAAATGTAAACAGACCTGCCTACACACAAACTATGCCTAAAAGGGAGATAATTCAAACGGCCATATAGCTACGCATCTTCACTCCAGCGTCAGAGGAATTAAGCACGTGTATTTGCTGTTTTTGTATATGATTGGTTGATAGTTATTGGGACCATCGATCCCAGTAAATTGGAACACAAAATCGAAGCTATTTCATAATTTTGTGTAATACATTGTGTAAAAATTAAATTAATGTTGTAAAAGAATTTTGACTATCTTACTGGTGTTGTTTTGTATTAATTTATTAAAATGTGCTTATCTTCTACATGTAGGCCTAAAGAGTGACTTTAAGATAGGTAAACACAGAGAAATTTATTTATAAAGCTAGGAAGAAACAAAACGACCTAAAATATATTCTTTGAAGTGTCCTCAGGTACTGCATCTGGGTATTTTCTTGAAATGTTAAAATTGATATTGTCACGATTTTGAGGATTATGTACAATAGCTATAGTTGCACAACCACCTACAGGAAAAATGCAGATAGTTTACGCTACATACCATTCTCGTTACTCTAAGGCTTAATACTCTCCTTTTTTAATATAACAAAGGTGCTACACCAAACTTAAAAGAAATTTCAATAAACATATTTATGCTATTTATTTACTAATAAAGGTGAAAAACCGGTCACTTAATCCAGTGTGGTTTAATTGATCAAAATTGGTTGCCAACATACGTTTAGTATCTCGTGATCACAAAATCATATACTGCTGACATGCACTTACAAAAAGATACATGGTATTACAAAGTTTGTTACTAAATCATTTTGATATTTTTTTGAATTGTTAATACTATTCCAAAGTTGAATTTTGACAATATCGTTTAAACTAAAGATGTGCTATCACAGGCACCCAGCTCACTGATGAAAATGAGACATCCCTACCAATTTTTTTTTTATCGGCGAGCTCATGATAAGTGCCTGAGCAAGTTCCAGATGTCTGGAGTATTTTATCACTGGAAATGAACCACATTGTGAATCTGTACACGAGCTTTCCGCAAAAGCGTTCGAAAGACCCAGATCAGTCGCACCTGTCAACAAACGACAGCAGCGCCACCTTTAAACAGGAAGTGCTAATGAGATGAATCAGTGCTACCTGAGATAGGTAGAATTCCTAATTAATTACCTGTCTGGACAAGCCACGCCTAAACAAAATGGGTAATTATTTTATATTGATTTTTCATTTAATATCGTTAATAGTAATATGTCTTTTTGTGAGTAGTTGTCATCTCTGGAACCTGTATTACAGGTGTGCGGCTACACCTGACACAGGTGAAACCGTTTTCTGTAGAAAATGAAACAGACAACATTGTTTGTTGAAACGTTGGTCATCAGATTGTAATGCGATATGTGTATAAAAAGTATATGTTACAAGTAAATGGTTCGTTCCTGCAATTTTATATAGCATGTGTAATTGAAAAAAAAAACAAATCGAAGTTTAAACGGCTACGGTGTGGCAGTGCAACGCATTCTTTTGTCGTTTTGTAAACAATGTATAAGTATGTGTTTCAACCTCAAATCTTTCTATAGCATGGATGACTGTTATGTTCGTTACCATTCTTAGAGGTGTTATAATCATATGACATACATTAATTGTCCTATTGATGTACAGATATCTGGTGTCTGTCAGAATGATTTAAGTCTAAATCTGGTGAATTTCTATAAGTACGAGCCAGCTAGAGGAAAGTTGTGCAAAGAGGAATAGTATTATTTAAGCTGACAATTTTAGGTGAACTTTCATGAAAGTTAATATTTTAAAAAAAATTACAATTGTTTGTTATATATCCATCCCAATCGACATAGAATCTGTCATTTTCGTTTGCATTGCTACACGTGTTTTTAAATCCCTGGACATACATGGTATATATGGCTGTTATCCATTTATGCATCCTTTCATCGAATCCCTCCATGGCCAACCATCATAAACTTGTATTTACAAGGCAATCAGAGTGACTAGCACTAGCTCTTTACTTCCAAGTGATACTAAATTGAGTTTTTTCTGACAAAATTTTAATTTACAAATATTTGGAAGAGTTGTTTCCCCTTGTTTTTTCAGTAATTTTTTTTTATCTTACAGTTCTAAATCAATATCTTTGAGATTTCATAGACTTTATATATACAACTATATATATGATATAGACTGCATATGTCCTACTGGATGGAATATAAACACAACTTAAAAAATTTGAAAAATTTTTCTTTCCAGCATTTCAATCTTGTTCAGTTTTAGATTGATCTCCTAAAACATGGTAAACATTGTCACGGAAAGTTTTTAATGAAAAGTTAAAACAATCATTCTCAATATTTGAACATTTGCTGATAAAATGTTTTCATTTCTTTTGTTTTCACAGGGTGTGAAAGATTAGGAAATGTGCCGTTTGCTTCATTGATTGCGACGATGATCACTTTCACAGGCGTGGGCGTGTTCTGTGGGACACTGTACCGCGCCTTGACTTTGATCATCACTAACATTTTACAAGAGCTTTTCCAGTTCAACGTCGCTTGGTAATTATATGGTTACGTTTTTTTCAAGAATGTTATATGAATGTGTTACAAATCAAATGTTACTTATTAAAGGCTTCTGTACTAGAAATGAGTCAGAAAGCTAATTGTGACTTCAGCTTTTTAACTGACATATATCAAAGGTATGACATTGAAAGAAGGTAATGTCGAGAACAGATTTCTATATTCAATCGCACAAATGGCTCTAAGGTAATTTTTTCCTACATGTAAACTATCTACAAGAATACATGTGTTTAAAGCAAAAAAAATTGATTAACTGACAATTACATGTACATATATGTGAACGTTTTCCATTTTCATAAACCAAGTCCCTATCCGTAATATATAATTGTTTCTAGTTATCCTTCATCAAACCTCTATAATTGTTGTTATTTACAGGTTGGAGGTGATAAAGATTGTTTTTGTGATTGTTGCTGTCATCATGGGAGTCTTTGCCATTATTCTATTAGGATTTGGTTACTTGTCCACTGGAGCAACAAGAAAAAATGTCTATTCTGGAGCCAAGTGTATAATGGGTGGAAGAGTTTCCGCTGCTTTTGTAAGTTTAGAGTTTAGTTTTTGTGACACTTATCAAGATAAGAAATTAACATAGGTAGGTTTATTTAGAGTTCTGCAAAATTTGCTGGTCAAACAACCATAAAATACAAGTCAGTTGTGCAAGATAAGATGTTTTATAATTTTCAAAAACCTGTCGTTAATTTTGCAACATTAAAAGCCTGGAAAATAGAACACTCCGCCAATGGCGAAGATGAAAACTCTTTGCATTGGCGAAAGTGCGAAATTGCCAAAATACATTGATATTTCATTGCTCCAGTGACAGTCACATTGGCACTGATTTCATTATGTACACAAAAAGTGGTGTGATTATATCACTACCTGCCATCTCCTCAGGCTCATGTCACAGGTGAGTGCAGCCATGGGGTGCCCAGGTGTTTGTCTGCACCCACAGGCAATGACTATACACACTCTTAGTTAATAATCATTACATTGTGATTATAATTTGGGACCATTACTTCAAAAAGAAACACTGTTTATAATTGTCATAGATTTACTTACATCAGGATGATCGCTGTTTTACTAAAAGCAAAGACAGTCGGCCTGCCTCTGTTAAGGAGGAAATATACATACAGTGCATACTAAAAAACAGGAAATTGGTATGGAAAATCCGGATTTTTAGCAGCGATCATAAAGAATGTTAAATATCCCTAAAATAAATGTTAAATATAAGTAAAGGCAGTGACATTAACTCATCAAATGATAAATTTTTATTTCTTTGGGCTGTAATTCTCTTTTGTCATTTCATTCATTATTATCTTTTATTTTTCATTAAGCCTAAGATATTCTTCAGAAAAATAAAAGTTGTCAATAAATTATTCAACTGTATTTCCATCTATTTGTATCCATTTATTTATATGGCAGCTTAAATTATTGTTTACAGAAATTGACTGTTGAATAAATATTTCTCTTCTTTCTTGTCCTTTTTCGTCTCAAATTTTACACAAAACATATTTTTATGAGCATTCTTTGAAATAAATCTTTACAACTTTGAAGTAAACTACTTCAAAAAAAAACACACACAAAAATAACACATGTTGATTAAGCTGTCCTATATCAATTATTACTTATTGTACCAAATGGGTAGGGCTGAACGTATAAAGAATCAATCTGCAATTCTTTCACCTGAAACCATAATCAGTTTTCTGAAAATTATGTTTTAGCAAATGGATAGTACTAGTAGTGTAACAGTTCTTATTATCAAAATACATGTTAAAAAACCTATAATATACCTGATTTACTTATCTTTGTGGCCAACTACTTAAATAACAGCTGACTTTAACTTAGTACAATTTTCAAAACTGTTAAAAATGAAAACAAAGTTAAATATTTATTAAGTTTCTATGTCTTTCAAGGATTTTAAAAATCACATTTTGGCTTAACTCTGAGAGCCCTATTTCACTTTGTCGTGCTTTTCTTCCTTGGGAAACACTAGTATCAGTGACAGTGTAGCTTGATATATACAGCTGTGGTACTTTCATCATTGAAAATGATATGGAATGTTTACACGAATTCATTTGTTACAACTGGTCCATTATGTACTGAGAAGGACCCATTGTAGAGCTTCAGCCTGCCTAAGCAAATGAAAAAATTTAAAATCTAAAACCATTCTCATATTAACTGTGTAAACACAGAATAGCACATACATGTCTCTGTTGACAGTTTTTGATCATGACGTACTTGATGAACTTGGCCTGGTTAGGTATAACAGGAGCATGTGTGGTACCAATCGTTGGCTATGCCATGATCAACTCTTACTGCTATGAAAAAGTCTACAACAAAGCTGTAGGTACAGTCACTGTGGAATGCTTTAGCCTAACTAGATTCGGTAAGTAAAACAACATGTAAAGTGGTAAAGTAAAATTTTTCTTAGATCTATAGAGATTACACAACAAGTAGTTGTGATATATCAATTTTTTAACAAGATTTAGTTATTTTTCTCAGTGAAATGTCCCCACTTAATATGCAAAAGTAAGAATTTCAGAAATGTGTGGAAATATTGTAACTCATTGTAAATTTTAACTAGAAGTAAATTGGTTCGTTATATTTAAAGCAAAAATAAGATAGAAATCTAAATAGATATGAAATTTTACTAAAACAATTGTGAACTATTAATTGTGATCTCTAATTTTGTGAGTGTGTGAAGCAATTCTTATCCAGTTGGCATTCATATGCACATGAATGCCATCTGACAGCAGTTCAATATTTATTTTTATTATTTTCAATTTTCATCTTGGCATAAGAGAAGTACTTACAAAATTTATATGCTGTTGGCATTTTATAAGTTGATAATACACTGACTTTGGTAAAGTTACATTGTAGTAATGTCACACAATGGTAAATATTAAACCATATTGAGACTAATGAGGAGTATCAAACAATTTTAATCACCATTATTCGTAAAATATTGGATGGCTTGAATAAAGTTTATTTATAATATTAGACTGATAAATGATTCATTTGTCAGTCACCACAACATCAAGGTGAAGTTATCAGTCAGGATATTTCTATTGATCTATACATGTATCAAAAGAAAGTTGGATATTTCTGATGATCTATCAGTATCTCCTAGAAATAAAACGATTCTTTTGTTATATAGGTATCTACAGGAACTCAACAACAGCCATTGGGATAGGAGTACCTGGCCGGGAACAGTTGTGTGCTCACACTGACCTCAGACTCATGTGTGATAAGGTATATTATTTTTTCTGATAGAGCAATGTAAAAATAATACTTCATTTAAATCGATGTGATTTGGTATTGTTTTGTCAGATGGACATGGTTGTCTGTAGGATATGTTTTGCTGTTACTTTGAAGTTAGACCATAGTGAATTTAAAACATTGTTACATGTTTACAAGTTGAGACATATAGATATATCAATCATTTATCAGTATTTTTTATCTATCTTTCAGAAAAAAAAAATTTGTTTTAATCAGTACAGGTGAAAAAATGTAGTAGTACATTTACTAGTTTAACTGGGGTATTTTAGGTAAAATTTGGTAATGTAACAAGTTGGTAAGATAGCTTACAGTGAGTTTTAGGACTTAGATATTGGGCTAAGTCAAATTTTGAAAACCCACTCAATCTCTTATTATTGGGACACATCAAAAAATTGGAATTGTTGTTCTGAATTTGTCAGGAAAAAATGGATTACTATTGTGAAAATATATGTTTAACAAAAGATTTCATGATCCAGGTTTAGTGATAAAGTTTGTTTAATTTGACTTACAATTTTATGATCAATGCCTGCATGTCAGAAGTGTTACATTTTTTAATATTCACTTTAATAACACATATCCATTCATCCTCCATGCTGTTTGTAGGTGGCTGAAGCTGGTCCACTCTTCTGTGTAGCCTGTGCTGGGGCAGCCCTCATTGTCCTCGGAATGGTTTGTATTACCTTGGACTTGTCGAGGCCTTTCTCGTTTGAAGGGATGGGGGTTGTAGTTTTGAAAGATTTCTATCATCATCCTCATCTGTTGATCAATATATCAGCAAGACAACAAAAATTGATGAAATAGTAAATTTGTCAATTCATGCATTTCTCAAAAAAATATTGGGAAATGTAAGAATTTTGTTAAAAAATATAAATCTATTGTTTTCATTCAAAGGTGTTCCCAACTGCCTTGAAGTATCATGGCATAAGCTAAAGCATTATCTGTTTCCTAGATCCACCTCTGTATGTTTTATACTTACAGACACTTTTCTTTCTAAAGTTCTATCATTGAGAGTAATTGGATTTAATTAAAAGTATGATTTAATCTTTTATTCTTAGCAGTATTAATGTTTAATGGCTATCTGTAGTTAATGCTGCCTGTAAGTAAACAGTAGATATTGATGAGATTTCATTCCTTGATATTACAGATACATTTTATGATAGCCATAGGAGCAAATTATACACGGATCAAGATCTCCAAAGAGTTAACAGAGTACCGGGATGCTGTAGATATGGAAGAGCTTGACCTTCACAACAGCCGCGGCTACCTGGACAAGGACAGTAGTTCTCGGTGACAACTAACTCCTGGTCCCACCCGTTACTGATGTACTATTCACTTGCCATCTTATTTCATATAAACATATTTATTTTCATCAAAGTCATTTTTAATGAAAAAATATCATTCCAATTATTAATATAAGGGAGTTTAGTTAGTGTAAAAGTTGATAGAAACATTTCATTGTATGCTATTTCGGAAACAAAAAGTTAGAATAGATTTATTCTGGAGTTATTCCCCTTCCATGGTGTAAATATTTCATTAAGATTGAAAAATAAAATGATTATATATATAATAAAATTTATCATTAACTGAAACTGGCTGATTTAAAACTAATGTGAAAGTGCTTTTAATGAGAAATCAAATTCATTTTATATAATTACTTTTAATAATGGTTTACAGTGTTTAATTAAAGAGGTGTAGTGTGTAATGTAACAGGTTGGACCGGTGAAATAATGAGTCTTGCTCCATGTCATTATAGTAACCCTTTTTATAAAAATCCTAGATTGAAAAAGGAAGGCAAGCAGTGAAAAAGCTTTAAATGCTGTGTGTCTAGAGTCTTGCCATTATTGATGGAAGTCAGCATTAGCTGTTGGTGTATTAAGACAGCATTTTGTTATCATAACCCAGAAGTTTTGACGAGTTTAACAAGGGCTGCTTGTTTACAATATAAGGAGGAAGCTGTCTTTCTGGGAAAAATTGTTGTTCTGCATTTGGTCACGGGTTATTAGACCTGTAATATTAGTTAGCTGGAAAAAAAGTAGAGGGTAATTCTTTCAACCATGAATGATTTCATAATCATTTAATTGATATGATGACTCCATATTGGCTGATTTCCATGCTGTTATTTTTGTTTGTAACAAATACAAAGTAACATTAAACACGCAGACATTTCACAGTGTTATTTAACCGATATTTGGTGGATTATTAATCTCAGGAATGTTCATCAATTTGAAGCACATTATGATAGTATAATGACATTTTCAATGCATTGTAGCCTGACAAACTTTTGATGAGAAAAAAATATAAGAATCTAGAACACTGCAATCGTCTATTATTATCCATAAAACCTGGCTGCTGAGTTTGATATCTATTAAACAGATATCCCGATGTATGCCAGCATTCATTTTTGAGTTATGATTTTAAAGCTTTAGTGTTTAATAATACAGAGTGCAATGATTAGCAAGTGTTTTGAAAAAGAATGTTACAAAGATGTACTTTAGAGGCTTGACCAAACACTTTTTTCTGCCGTTTAGTTTGTCACACATTAGCTGGACATTCAGACTAGGCCAGTTTGTCAAGCAACCACTGTTTCAGGATGCTGATTTTTTGTATGTAGGTCATGTTTCTATTTATATTTTATATTATGGAATTACTTACAAGAAAAGTTAAAATTTGCAAGAGATTAGTAAGATTTTTACCCCATAAAATTCTGAATTATCTCCCTTTATCAGTCTAAATTTCATAAAAAATACTATGATTTGTTGTTCTGTTTGATTGAGTTCTTTTTACACTGCAATGTTTAACATGACAAATGTGACCTAGGAAAAGATCAATTATCAATAGAAAAAACAAAAAATATTAAAGTGGTTTAGTTGTACATTGGAAAGGTTATTGATTTGCGTTTAGAATTATTTATGTGCCAGTAAATTAAGAAGTAGTCATATGATGTTCATCGAAACTGCCATAACCTCCAAATCAACTATTGTCACAATATACTTTTGTTAAAGATAGTTAGAAAGGGTTCAGTTTTTCTGTGTCCTAAAAATAGTTCATACTATCATTATAAGCCCAGGTGGTACTTGCATCTGTATTTGATTGTGATTGCTGTTTTCTCTTCCTTTTTTGAGTTGAGGAAGGTCTTAAATCTGGCTGTTCAAAGTAAAAGACCAATGATGTTTGTTTAGACAGGGTCTTTGTCAATTTAAGGTTTTTATCTGAAAAAAGATATTTCTGAAATATTCGAATATGATTATGCTGTGCTGATATTTTTGTGTGCTTAAATCTTTTATTATTCTGTATAATTAGTTAGGCCTGTTAAGCTTGTCTGCCTCCATGTTGTCACAATGTGTGTATTTACAATGTTATAAATGTTTATGAAATTGATCAATTATAAACCCTGGTTATGTTTAACTATGCAGTTTTTTTGTACTAGATATTTCCAAAAGTTAACAATTTAAAAGCAGACTTGACTAAATGCAATTCAATGTACCTTTTCTTTAAATAACAATTATAGCATTATATGTTCTCTCAAGACAAGTTCAACTATAATAGAGACATCAGTGATGGTCTCTCAAGACAGGTTATACTGTAGAGATAACAATGACGATCTCTCAAGACAGGTTACACTAAAGGGACAACAGTGATGGTCTCTTAAGACAGGTTATACTATAGGGATAACAGTGATGGTCTCTCAAGACAGGTTACACTATAGGGACAACAGTGATGGTCTCTTAAGACAGGTTATACTATAGGAACAACAGTGATGGTCTCTCTAGATAAGTAATACTGTAGGGACATCAGTGATGGTCTCTCTAGACAAGTTATACTATAGGGACAACAGTGATGGTTTCTCTAGACAAGTTATACAATAGGGACAACAGTGATGGTCGCTCAAGACAGGTTATACTATAGAGACATCAGTGATGGTCTCTCTAGACAAGTTTCACTGTAGGGACATTAGTGATGGTCTCTCTAGACAAGTTACACCGTAGGGACAACAGTGATGGTCTCTCTAGACAAGTTATACTGTAGGGACAACAGTGATGGTCGCTCAAGACAGGTTATACTGTAGAGACATCAGTGATGGTCTCTGTAGACAAGTTATACTATAGGGACAACAGTGAGTGTGGCTCAAGACAGGTTATGCTATAGAGACATCAGTGATGGTCTCTCTAGACAAGTAATACTGTAGGGACAACAGTGATGGTCTCTAAAGACAAGTTCTATTTTAGTGACTGTTTTGTTGTATATGTATATATGAAATAAAGGGTGAATTTATACTTACATGTATCTCAACTTAATGTCACTTAATTGTATTTTGGTGGATATATAATCGTTTGAATTTGTTATATTTTAGATAATAACTTTGTATTTTGTAATTTTGTCAATTATCACTTATATATATGCATGTACAGTAAGGTATGTTGTGTATATAAGTGTACATAGTTAAAAAAAATATTTAGACTAAATCGTTAGACATAACTAATATAAATCAAGGTTAATTTTTATATAAGGTTTACATTGGATTGTCACTTAAGACAATTATTTTGTAACAGAAATAATTTTGATATGGAAGTTTGAAACATTTTTATTGGCAGACACATCTGGACATAGGTTATAAAGGTATTTCTACTGATGTGTATCATTACATGTATGTCAGTTCCATGTTCACTGTAGTAAGATTTTTTTGAGTATTGTAAGAATACTTTATTGTATTAGGTTATATTTTTCAGCTAACTTTTGCACTGAAGCTACACATGGGCAAAATTCATACTCTGTAGTTAATGCAGATAAGATTGTAAACTATTCTGGAATAATTGATTTGGTTTTTTTTTCTTTCACATCTTAAAGTTTTTTGTTCTTCGTTTTTGTAATTACGTACAGTATTTGAAAATCCATTCTCTTTAAATGGCAGCAATGTTTCCTCCAGTTTGACACTAGAGGAGGTTTGAATTGTTTCTAGACAGATGAAGCAGATTTGTGATTGTCTTTTTTATGTGTGTAAATGTACTTACATATATTTTACATAAGTTGATCAAAGTTGATTCCTCACCAAGTAAATAAGTAAATCAATGTTTCTGCTATGCTACCCTACATGGGCTAAGCCAGACAATCACTTGCTCTTTAGTGAAAACATCATTTTCTTTACCCAATCTTTTTAACCCTGAGAGAAGAAATAAAACATCAGTTGTGGCCTTGTATCAGACATTGTAACATATCCTGTATAATTATGTAAATTTTATATGATGAATAAAAAGAATGTAAAATATACTTACCTTTTATCTATGTTTTGATACATTACAAACATTTATCAATTTTCTGTATGACCACACAGGTACAAATTGACCCGAATTGACCTGGTTGAAGATTAAGAACATTGTCCCGAGCATTAATTATAACATACAGGTGATAGGAAATTTCAACGATTTTTTGCGCTTGATAATTTACTCTGTTGAAAGGACAGTGTGAAAACGTTCCATATGATCTGTCCTCATCATGGGTACGGTTAGCATACATTTTGTTACACAGTCCAAAGATATGAAATTGTTACATATCGTGTTGAACATAGAAACAGGATCGCTCGAACGTGATTCGTTTTCCGTTAGAAATGATAATATCTTTTAAATCTCAGTAGACAGTATGCAACTGTACCTCCCGCTGACTTTTAAAAGTTTCTCGATTCTGTATTTGGTGTTGGAGACGGAGAAAACTGACTGACCCTTGAGCTAAACATTTTGTCTGTAGCGTATCTAAGTCTGTTAAAAACGCATTTCACATTTGTCTGTATGATACACGGGAGGTAAATTCTGTTGGTTGACTTTGTGTGCACTGGTTTAGAAATACACGTGCTCACTGTACTTTCGTCTTTTGAAATTTTTAAATATTGGATATTACTAAATGTGAATACCTGTAAAACGCAAAACTGCGCCGTAGGCATGGTCAAAGCTTGTGTACGTCATACTGGTGTGCATCGAAATACTGTAGACGTCTTGTGGAGACAGTAGACGCCTTGTGGAGACAGTATCAACAGTTTGGGACACCAGAGACCGGCCTCGGACAGGACATCCACGCGTAACAGGTAATCGTCCGGATACGTATATCCGGGTTCTTCATCTCCGTGAACGACTCCGAACTGCTTCTTTGACAGCTAAAGGTATTCTTGGCCTTAGAAGAATTAGTGCCAGACTGGGATGTAATCGATTGCTTGAACGAGGCATACGTCCACGACGTCCAGCTGTAGGTTCTGTTCTCAAGCAACGTCATCGTGTAGCACGTTTCGCCTGGTGTAGACGACAC